CTTTAGTCTGTTATATATGATTTTTTGTTATAAAAGTTTGTGTCCAATGTTTCATCATATAGTTGCAAACATCTAAAGAATTGTACAAAAAAGATTGTTATAGAATTGTGTATGAAATAATCATTATTGTTTTTTAAATTGTGTTTTTTTAAGATATAAAGAATTATTTGCCCAAAGTGAAAATATTCCTTAAAATTTGAATATACTTAAATTTTTTTCATATGCTAATTAACCTAATCAATAAATTTAAAATTAACTAGATGATATGGGTAATGTAAACTTAGTGAAAATTAATGTTATTTATTTGCTAGAAAACCACAACTCCATCTTTACAAACAACCAACTATTTAGTACTTAAGTTCTCAAAAACGCAGTAGAATTAAATTACCTTTTGACAAGGAAAACAAATGCACACTGCCTTCTGTCTATTTGAACCTTTGGTTAATGTATTACCTGTAATTAAACCTATCTCTCTTTACAAAGTTACTGAAGTACATTACCAAATCTTCCCAAAACTGAATGCCAACTCTTAAGTAAGGTGAAACTAAAACTTGTGTTTCTACTAATATTCCTTACCTTTCAAACCTGAATAAATTATAGGAGAATGCAAAACATCCCACACAACCACAAGGAGTCCCTGTCAACACAAAACCTGTGTTTCTACTGATATTCCTTACCTTTCAAACCTGAATAAATTATGAGAGAATGCAAAACATCCCACACAACAAAAGTTGTGTTTCTACTGATATTCCTTACCTTTCAAACCTGAATAAATTATGGGAGAATGCAAAACATCCCACACAACCACAAGGAGTCCCTGTCAACACAAAACTTGTGTTTCTACTGATATTCCTTACCTTTCAAACCTGAATAAATTATGGGAGAATGCAAAACATCCCACACAACCACAAGGAGTCCCTGTCAACACAAAACTTGTGTTTGTGGGATGTTTTGCATTCTCCCATAATTTATTCAGGTTTGAAAGGTAAGGAATATCAGTAGTTGTGATTGTGTGGGATGTTTTGCATTCTCCATAATTTATTCAGGTTTGAAAGGTAAGGAATATCAGTAGAAACACAAGGTTTTGTGTTGACAGGGACTCTTTGTGGTTGTGGAGTCCCTGTCAACACAAAACTTGTGTTTCTACTGATATTCCTTACCTTTCAAACCTGAATAAGTTATTGGAGAATGCAAAACATCCCACACAACCACAAGGAGTCCCTGTCAACACAAAACCTGTGTTTCTACTGATATTCCTTACCTTTCAAACCTGAATAAATTATGGGAGAATGCAAAACATCCCACACAATCACAAGTGGCCACTGTCAACACATTTTTGTAACTTTCTCATGGTAACTTTATATTAACCATCATTACTTTTTAACAACTATCTTTAAACCAAATAAATAATGTATTCTACCCATTGAGAAAATTTATCTGCTTTTGCGAATTTGTTTGTAGATACTTTTTTATGACAAAAATATTTACAGGGTTGGTTAAAATAATAGAAACAATTGTTAATTTTTACATTTTTTTTTAAATATGGAGTTGGTTTACCACAAGCAGATAACACATTATAAACTAGTGTAGAATTGAAGAAACAAGTTGTTGTTCATCAGAAATTTGAAGTATTTTACCATTTCATGATCAAAGCTTCTAACTGTTGAAATAATGTTTTTGGTGGGAATTGCTTCAAAATTTAGTTTTCAGAGTTGACCATATGGGTTCAATAACATTTAAATGTGGTGGTTAACTTTTTTTGTGTGTGTATTGAACCAATCTAACAATTTCAGCAGTATGAACTAATGCATTCTCTTCCTGAAACAAATGAACTGCATTTTGGAATGAAGTCTTCATCACAGAATGAACTTGGTCTGCAATAACATTAGTAATAATTTTGCTATTGGGGTAATAGACCTTCAAGTATTCAACAAACACTGCTTTACCATCATAGAGCTTCTACATAAGCATGTCCATGTGTAAAGATGAAAAGTATTATATTTTTCCATTTATATTCAGCCCTATTTTTATGTTAATGACACCATATTATTCAGGCTTTGCATTTTTGTGTTATTAGAGGTTTTGAATGATAGACTTGTTATGGCAACCAATCTTGTGCAGTTCCCTTCAAGTTGTTTTAACAGGTTGGATATTGTAAAATATCTTAAGCGCTACACACACTTTTGGTGCTGTACTCTTGTTTTTGTCACACTGTTAATGTTCATGTGTGTTTATCATTATGTGTGAACTTACCATTATGCTTGTGAGATGTGGTTTGATCTTTTCATTTTCATCCTGACAACACTTTTGACCTTGGGAAACATCAATTATTTTTGGTGTCTATATCATTGTCACTAGAGTCTAGCTAGATGTTACTACAATCATGTCTCTTCAGAAATATTAAATATATTTTGAACTTGACATTTTTAGAACCTTTCTCTGACAAAATAATGAAGTACTATTCTTACACAAAACTCAGAGATATAGTTAGTAAACATTTAAATTACCATATTGCTGAATTTTCCATTCTTAGATACAACAAAATTTGAAGTTAAAAAAAAATAGTGCAAGTGGCACAACAGTGTGTCTGCAGACTTGAAGTGCTAAAAATTGTTTCAATACCTGTGGTGGGCAGAGCACTGATAGCCCATTGTGTAACCTCGTGCTTAACTTCAAACAAAGTTAAAAAGGTAAAGTATTTCAATTTCTATATAAAGCATGTACAGTTGTAAG